GGCCCACCACTTCCTTCGTAGCACCCTCATTCCCCTCAGCTCTGGGCCTTATTGAGTGCTGCAATGAACTCTAAGTTCCCTGAGGGCAGGGACAGGGTCTGCCTGTTCACCACTGTAACCCTGCACCCAGCACAGGGCCTGGCACTTAGAACTGGTTCTGTCTGTTCCAGGAATTAATAAAGTGGAGCTCAATGAAGTGAAGCCTGACACTCCCCAACCTCAGTTCCTCATTCCCAACAGTCAATCTCCTTCACCACCACTCCCAAATTGTTTTCCACAAAGTAGAAGCCTGCTCAGAAGCAACCTCCGCCCACAACCTCTCTGCAGGCCTCGCCCTCTGCTTCCTCACCACACACTGGGTGCAAGCTAGTTCTCCATGGGCTGGGCCAACAAGAAGGCCCAAGTTTTGGAAGCACTCCTTCTCCTCCCCACCCCTCCATTCTGGGCTCTGCCCCCAGAGACACTTAGTTACTTACATCAATTTCCTATTACTTTAGCCAATGGCCAGGAGATCAATTAGCTTAAAGTAGCCTCTTAGCTAATGGAAGTCTAGGAGAGGGATGGAGTCAGGAATGACTGGGAGGCGAGGTAAGAGGGGAAAACAAGTTACCTAAAGAATGTTTGTACATGTATGTGTATGAGAGAAAGAGAAAGGGAAAGAGAGACCCCCAACCTGGGATCCCCTGGACTCCTGCAACTGGCTCTGCCCTTCGCTGCCCCAGTCTCCCTTCCCCAACCTCCTACATCCAATTCATGCACTTCCTAGAGAGGGAGGGAGAGATGGGAAGGGTAAGGCAGGAGGGGGTATCCAAGAATTCCTAAGTTAACCTCTCCACTGCAGTCTCTCTTATCCTTCTGCAGTCTGTGCATGCTCCCTACAACCCATAACACAGACCACTCAGCGTCTGGGTGGGGTAGCCCATGATCCTCTCTGTTGTCTGGGCAACTTTTCCCCTCAGCAGCCACCCCACCCCCCGCACTGCCTGCCTAGCTGGAGGGAACAGAACCCTGTTGTAACCCTCCCCAGGGACTCCTTGTCTGTGGGTATCAGTGAAGGGGTAGAGCAGACTAGCTCCCATGCTGGTCCTAGCTCTCCACGGGGACCCTCCATCCCTGACTCTACTTGGTTTCAGATTACCTCTCTCTTTTCCTTCTGTGTCCCAGGATCACCCACCCACACTCACCTCTCATGTCAGCATCTCACCTCCCTTAGGGGCGCCAGGATGCAGGAGGGAATATCAAGCTCTACGGGGATTTGGATTTCTGTGCCCAGTGCCCTTAGTCCACTTCCCCTCTGGAGGATTCCTGTCCCCACTCCAAGGCCCTGGGGAAACTCCTGTGGGCCCTCCAGGGATTCCTATGCCCCTATCTTCTGCCCCCCAGTTCTACCCAATTCCTGAGAGAGACCACTATCCCCATAGCACACCCAGCCCCAGGATTTCCATTCTCTGCTCTCCCCTTCCTTCTCTTCCAGGGTCTAGAAATGAATTCCTGCTTCTCTCTTCCCCATGCGAAGGCTCTGGATCTCAGCTGGAGGAGGAGAGGTGGCATAGGGCAGACTGGGCAACCATCTGCCAGCCCCCTCCCCTTGGTGCTGCTCAACATTCCAGCCACATCGGCAGGTCCCACTGCCAGGGACTGATAAGGAGCAGCTGGAGGCTGGCACCAGCTGCGACTGCGCTCACTCCCCCGGCCCCTGCCCAGACAGCTGTGGCCCCAGCCCTCCTCCACGGAACCCCTGCCCTGCCTTGGCCTGGCTGGCCTCAAGGTGGGGTGGGAGAGTAGAGCTTCAGACCCTGTTGCCCTGGCAACCGACCATCCTACCCACCGAGAAGGAGAGGAGATGGTCAGGGAAGAGGAGGCCCTGCAGTTGGGCCTTTGGTTGCTCTTTTGGTAGCTCAGGAGGGAGCCCGCCCAGCCTAATTGCTGCAGGGGTACTCCCCCCATTACCTGTCTACCTTTTCTGCTCCAAAGCATTTCTAAACTAGTTTCTCTCAGATTTAGTTGAGGCTCCCCCCATTCACCCTACCCTCCCAAGGTGACTCAGGCACATCTAGGGGGATGGACCCTGGTCAAACACTTGGTGACCACCAGTCTATTCCCTGTGGTGGTACTGGATTCCGAAGCACATCTGGGAGGATCCCTGCTACTGCAGACCCCAGTCAGGGGGCCTGGGGCTTTGAGGGACCAGAGCAGCCTCTAGCTTCCAGCTGTAACTTATCTGCTCCTGGAAGTGGGTTCTTATTGTTTGGATGAGGGTTGCCCTTGGGAATCCGCAGATGAGTTTACATGCGCCCATGTGCACTATATCTGGCAAACACTTTCAGTGAAGGCGTGGACTTCCTTTAAGAATCTCTGCGCTCAAGGCTGCAGAAGACTGCCAAGATGTTCTCCCTTAAGTACTGACCCTACAAACAGATGTTTCCTGTTAGTGTCACATCTTCCCAGGAGCTAGATACACACCCCCAACACACCTCTGGACCTGGCAGAGGAAGGACAAGGAATCAGATATTAATTATGAGACTAAGGAGAGGAGAGAATGGAGGAGCACCAGGCAGGGAAAGCCCAAGCCCATTGGGACTGGGGAGCTGGAGGAGAGTGCCAAGGACTTTCTTCTCTACCAAGGAGATGTCAGACATTGACTCACATCTGGAACATACCTCTGGGCAGAAGTAGTAGAGTCCTTGATATGGAAAGGGGCTGCCAGTGAGGTCAACCAGAGAGGAGAGAGGGAGAAGAAGGCACTGAGAGGTTTGGGTCTAGCTAGATTAAGGGTTAGGTCTTTGACATCAGCTGAGAAACAGGGAAAACCTGGCCTTCCCTGACAGCTAAGAAACAAGAAGTGCCATAGTTGGGCCTGCAGAGTGCTAGCCCGTGTGTCTCCTCCTACTCCCACCCCCCAGCATGAGGAAGAACTCAGATTACTTCAGAAATTGTGAAGCAATCATATCTCTATCTGGTTGCTCAGAATTTTCCCCTCAGATAACGTGCCAATCACATTTTAGTATCTCCATTACCATGAACCAAACATGCCTTAGTGTTATCACTTACAATCCTTCTGGACACAATGGACAAATGGAGCCTCAACTGAGTGCTTTCTATAGACTAATTGTATCTCAGCATTATACCTTAGCACCTTCCCAGGTTGAGTCAAGCAACTGCTTCCTTCATCCAACACTACAAATCATCCAAGCTAATGGGGTTTCTCCATCTTTCTTTGTGGTCCCTTCTGCTTGCAACTTGACGTGTGTTGGGGATGGGGGAGGGCTTTGGCTTTCACTTCCACCTTCACCTACAGTTCTGCTACTCTCGAGAACATGTTTGGTGGTTGAGCCTGGGAACCCACTTGGTCTCAGGCTCTGGGGAACCAGGACTCTCCTGTTGTAAAGAAGGAAAAAGGTAAGGAGGTTTTATCTGCATCCAGGCTAACCTTCCCATCATCTTGGCTCAGCAAGGAGTATGGTCATGTAACCCTTGTCCAGTAGGATTGATAAAGGCCCATGAAACAGGTCTGCAGAGCAGGGCTTAAAGAGACTGAGAAGTCCTGTATAACCTCAGCAGGAAAAACCGTGCATTACCATGGCTCCAACCTTTTTATATGAACAAATATAGTTCATGTCTCCATAATGCTGGGAGGAAGCAAGCAAGTTTGGAAGGAAATGAGCAGGGAGAGAAGGGGAAATTTGAGACTGGAGAGTTCAGAGTAGGCATGGAGTGCAAGAGGGCTCTAGGGGAGACTGGGTTTTGAAAGAGCAATGAAAGAACTGGAAGTGAACACAATAATTCCAGGGTCAGCACTATTAATGAAAAGGGCACATTGCATTGGGACTTCAGGAGGCATGAATTCTAATCCTGAATCTGTCACTAACCAGCTATGTGAGCTTGGGCAACCCACTGTTCCTCTTTGTATCTCAGTCTAAGCATTTCTAAAATAGAGATAATATGGCTGATTCTACCTTACTCACAAATTTATCAAGAGGATTGAAGGGACAGCCTGGCAATCATCCTGAAGAGTTACAAGTGGTATCCTCTCATTTGGTGTTATTATTCATACATGACTCTAGCTCTGGTCTCTTTCCAGCCTCTGCCTGGTTCTCACCCCTTCTTAGGAACCTGTGTGTCTTGTCCAGGGTCATCTGGCCTATCAGATGACAAAGTAGGCTCCCCCATACCCTCCCTGGGATGCTTGCTTTGAGGCAGCCCCATCTATGGGGTATAGGGTATTTGTGGGGCATCTCCACCTTAAGAAGTGAAAGGATCCTCCAGTTCGGCCATGACTGTGCATCCTGAATCATCTCCCCTTCCTCAGTCCTGGCTCTGTGGCTCTTGCTGGTAAGGGGAAGGAGGGAAGATGCCTAACTAGACTCTGTGTGTGTGTGTGTATGTGTTTTGTGTGCATGTGTATGTGTGTGTATGCGATGGTTGGCACAGAGAGAATGACATGTCTGTTTAAGAGAAAGCTTCCCTTACTTCCCATGTTTCACAGTACTTCTCAAACTTTGTGTATTCAGATCAGCTGGGGATCTTGTTAAAATGCAGATTCTGATTCAGTAGGGCTTGGGGTGGGGTGATGGTGGTGAAATTCTGCTTTTCTTTCAAGCTCCCAGATCTGATGCTGATGCTGCTGGTCCTTAGACCTCGCTTCAAATAACAAGGCTGAAGCTTACCCAGCATTACCTCCAGCTCTGACACCTGCAGCCCAGAAGGTAAGCTTGGTGAGGGCTGGGCGTGCGTGCGTGCGTGCGTGCGTACCTGCGTGCGTGTGTGCATGTGCGTGTGTGTTGTATGCTATAGACTCCCTTTCCCACCATCATGGATGCAAGGCTGAGGTCAGGCCCTCACACTGAGCAAATGTATCCCTGTGCTGAGCAACATCGTCTCCTGTCAGAAGCGGGACACACAGTTCCCTCTTCTAAAGTGGCCTGCTCCTCTTCTCTTCCTCCTCTCCTCCTCCTCCGGGGCCAGGATGATGCATGGCCCACACCAGGGGACTCACTCACCACCTTGAAGTCTTCAGCGCTGCAAACCTCCCCCCGGAAATGGCAGGAGAGCAGCATGTCGCGAATGTCGTGCCCCGCACGATCGTAGAACTCGCGCATGTTGAAGGGCTTGGGCTTGAAGCTGCGGAAGTTGGCCTTGTCCTGCAATATCTCCAGCTGCTTTTCGTCTGCCATCTGTGTGTCTGGTATCTCATACCTGGAGCCCAGGGGTGAACAGTGCACAGATCAGCATGACCTTTGGTTCCTGCCTCCTTTTGGCTTCTAGCATCCCATACCCAATTTGGGGGTGGGGGAGCAGCATATTCCCCTGGGGATCAGGCCTGGGCATGGGCAAGGAAGGAGAGCTGGGCATGTCCAGAGGACGTGCTACATGGGGCCTGAGAAGACAGGAGGATCTGCTGTAGCTACCCAGGGACTAGGCATCTCAGCACATGGGCAAGAGGGAGCATGGATGAAGGTGGAATGGGCAGAGATGGGGGCAGGAGCTATGGCTTTTATATTATAGTCTCTACACTTTAAAGATGGTCTAGCCCCTCCCTCATCCCTGGAGTGAGGAGAAGGTCAAAACAATGGTGGGGGAGAGGGATAAATGTCACACTAGAGAGGGTGATGATGTCTCACAGCTCAGGCTGGTTAGGGGCAGAGCTATTTTGGATTGTGCTGGGATCCTTTGATTGGGTGCTCAGCAGGATCCCAACTCCTCTGCTGTGAGTGGCAGGTTTGGGGAGGGCTGGAGGGCAGAGTTGGCTGGGCTTTATAATGAGTTAGGGAGGCAAGCACCCTGATGGCGTGCCTGGGAGCCAGGACTCATGCAACTCCAGGAGTGGAGCTGGAGGGTGGGTGGGAGCCACTCACCTGTTGTTGAGCAGGGCCAGCAGTTCTCCGGCGTGGTACAAGTCGTTCTTGGAGACTTGGCTAAAACGGAACTCGTTGAGGTTGCACAGCGTGACGGCAGGGAAGGTAAGCTGGGAGGCGGCCACCTCGTCGAGCTTGGTGACGTGGTGGTAGTGGAAGTAGTACTGCACACGCTCGGTGCACACGCATAGCAGCACAGCCAGTGAGCCCAGGAAGCACAGGGCCCACAGCGCTCGCTTCAGTGACAGCCGCTCATAGGAGAAGATGTGGGCCAGGCCGTGCAGTGTGGAGCTGCTGGCAAAGGCCTGGATGCTCACCGGCTGGACGCCACCCACCTCCTCCTCCTCGGCCTTCAGTTCCATCCTGGCCGAGGGGATCCTGGGGAAAGAGGAGTCTGTCATTGTCCTGGGATGGGGCCCCTCCCTCCAAATGCATCCATAATCCCTGTCTCCAGAGGTCACTGCCTCTGGGGCAGGAGAATGTCCTTATATGTGAGCCCAGAGGTGGTGGCCGAGGGACACACTCCCAGGACAGGGTTCCTCCAAATGCAGGTGCACAGGGTGGGGTGTGGGTCAGATCAGGCCAAGAGAAACCTCTACCAGAAAAGCTTTCCTAGCCAGGGCAGACCCCAGATGCAGTCATCACAGGGTGAGAGGGAAGTCCCGATGTTCCCACAGGCAGACAGGCACAGGAGTTCCCTCCAGATGTGGGGTTACTCTGGGACAGGAATGTCCACCCCATCCTGGAGACAAAAACTCCCCCAGATGGGCTGAACTTGGGTCAAGAGCCCTTAGTCAAGGGTGTCCCCAGTCTCTCCTTCTGTTAACTAAACCTGGGCCAGAACCCTCCCCCTCCCCTCCCCCCAGGGAGGTGGGCTACATCTGGGGAGGCGCCCAGCGTAGGTCCTCACCTGCGGGTGTCTCCAGTTCTCATATCGGCGCAGGCTGTATGTGTGTATGTTTGGGGCGGGGGGTAGGGGTGGCGGTGGAAGTGGAGGGCCACCCGAGGTGGATGGAATGGGGTGGGGGGCGGTTCCTTATGACAGCGAGCTGTCCCCGCCCCAGACGCAACCCCCCCACCACCACCCCGGTCCGGCTTCTCGTCCGCAGCCAGATCCCCTGCTCCGTCCGGCCCCCGCCCCCCGCCCCAGCCACCTAGCCGCCCCAGCAGCTGGGGAAAGCAAGAGGGGAGGGGAGACCCGGCTTGGGGCGCTGGGGAGCCCCGCGGCCAAAGGCAGGGGCATCGGAGACTCACCTGAGGGGGCTTCGGGAGGCCGGCAGCCGGCGGCGGGTCCTGGGGCGCGGGGCCAGACACGGGCTCAGCGCCGAGCCGCCAAGGGGCTCATGGCCCGGAGCGGGAGCGGCGGCCGCCGCGGCACGCCGCGCAGAGCCCTGCAGGAAGCGGCCCACCCAGCCCGGCTCCGCTCGGCTCAGCCGCCCGCGCGCGCTCGCTCGCTCGCTCGCCCGCTTGCTGGCTTCGGCTCGGTCCGCCGGCCCGGCTCGGCTCGGCGCGGTGCGCGGTGCTCTCAGCCCCGGGATCTGCAGGGATCCATCGTCCGGCCGGGAGGCGGCGGGAGGGAGGGGGAAGGGAGAGGGTGCGCGTGCGCGCCTACGAGTGTCTGCGAGGGTGTCTCTGGGCCGGTGAGCGCGCGGGGCGCCCGGACTGGGGAGCCGGACTGAGGGCTCCCCCCGCCGGCTCTCCCCCTCCTCCCAGCCACTCTCGGTAGCACTGCCTCCCTCCGGTCCCGGGCCGTCTCCCTGCCTCCGAGGCCCTATGGCTTGTGTGTGTGACTGCGTGTGGTGTGTGCGCGCGTGTGTGCGCGCGGGAGGGAGGGTGTCTGCCCCCAGCGTCCCCCTCCCCGAGCTGTCTCCTTCGGATCGATGCTCCTGCCTCTCAGCTGCTGCTTCCTCTGGTGGCACACACACACACACACACACACACACACACACACACACACACACACGCTCCGAGTCACACTTGACTGATTCGAGCAGTTGCCCGTGTGGGGACACACACACATACAGAGCAGAGTCACACCACGCCACTCACAGCCACACACACACCCCAGAGACACCCACGCATCCCAGAGGCCTGGCACACACGGCAGGCACTCACAGGCTTACACATATTCACCTGTTCTTATCCCTGCTCCCCACTTACATGTGACACATACACACATGTGTACCCAGACATCATTGCTGTAGCCCTGGAGTTGCCTTGGGGGGGCATGTTTGCAGCCCCTCAGCCCCAAATCTCTGAAGGAACACGGGGAAGCGGGGAGAAGTAGCCAGAGGTCAAGGGAATTTGGAGAGAAGTAGGGAGATGGGAAAAGGGACTGAGAGAGGAAGGGGACAGGGTGAGAAAAGACTGAAGGTGGAGGATGGAGCAGGAGTCTGGGGCAGTGAACCCAGGCTGGCGGGCTGCTCCTGTAGCTCTCACCTCTCTCCTTCCCTCCCTCTCCTCCTCCTCTCTGAGAGGCCTTGGGGGGCCCTCCCTATCCAATTAACAGAAAGGGAGCTATCAAGAGGAAGTTGTTAATTTGCTGATGCTCATTAGGGGCTCTTAGCACAGAGGCTGTTGAGGTCTGATGGTGTCAGATGATGAGGGGAGTGTGGGGACCAGGATTCCATCTCTAGCAGCTACTTTGCTCCACTTGCAGGCCAGTGCAGCCCTGGGAGAAGGAAGGTGAGAGGCGTGTTCCCAGGGCATGGAGGGGGGTCTTTAGGGTAGAAGAAAGAACCTCTGATGAGAAGGGACTGACACGATGGAAAGAAGTTGGATGAGAAGTTGTGAAGGGTTGGGGGCAGGAGGCATGCGGGTAGCCAAGGCAGGGAGCTTGAGAGCCCTAGGAAGAGTGGGGGCTTAGGACTATGGAGGAAGGTGGATGGAATTCATTTACTGGGGGCTTGGGTGTGGAGCATCCAAAAACAATGAGGGAATAGTGCTTTCTAGTCTTGGGTTGCGGAGCTGTCCAGCAGCAACAGTGGTGCGGGGTGGCTGCCATGTTCCCGGGTAGCCACTGGGTGGCAGGACTCTCCCAGATACTTAGAAACAACCCAAGGGGGGCATTTAAGAGTAGGAATTCCACCCCAAACAGGGACCCAGGGAGCATCAGGAAGAGTCTGGTTCTAAATTCTAAATGTCCTCAGAGGGAGGGGAGACTGTCTTGGATCATCCGTAATTTCCCCATCTCCCCACCCTGGAAAGCTGAATGACACACCGAGCCTCTTCAAATGGCAGCAAATTGCTTCAGTCACCTGGAATGTTACTGAGGGAGCAGCGAGGGTGGAGGGAAGGTGATTAGGTGAGGTGGAGGCAGGCGAGGACTCATCGAGGCCAATGAGCAGCCCCAGGAGGAGTTTGGGGAAAGATTGGAGGTGTGAATCAGGCAATCTCAGCTTCCAGACCTACCCTGCCGTTAGTTAGCATGGATATGTCACTTGACCTCTCTGAGCCTCAGCTTACTCGTCTATAAGATGGGGATAAAACTTATTTCACAGGGCTTTTTGAGGATTACATGAGCTAATGCATGGAAGATGCTTAGCACCTTGGCTTATACTTAGTAAATTCTCAACAAATAATAGCTATTAGTATCAGTATTTGAATCCAGTGTTAAAGCGACCAGCCCAGCCAAACCAGAGTAGAATCTAAGACAGTGTTTCACAATCTAGGCTGCATTTTTTAATCACCTGGGGAGCTTTTAAAAATTCTGATGCTGCAGTCCCACCTTAGACATTGAATCAGAATCTCTGATTTGAGATTCTGGGGTGGGGCCCAGATAGTCCAACTTTAAGACCAGCCAATTTTGAAAACTTTTGCTATTCAGAATCCATGGATCTGAATCATGGGCCCCAGCCTTAGGAAGTTCTTTCTTATGCGCAATCTAAGTCCCTCATGCTGCTGTTTCCTTATCAGTTAGGTGAGATGGATCCTCCCTATCTGTACATTTCAGCAGACCTCCACTGAGGCTTATCCTGTGTTGGCCCCCAGAATTGGTCCTGGGGCATAGCAAGAAGTGGCATAGTTCCTGCCCTCAGAATCTCCCAGTGTCAAAGAGGAGATGAACATTTTGACAACTGACTCTAGTGCAAAGGCTGAGAGCAGAATAGAGGGATGGGCCAGGGTTGCCAGCATAGAGTGGCAGAAGGGCTAAGTCATTCTGATAAGGGCTGTGGGGCAGGGATGATGAAAAGGGGAAGCTGATGTCGCTGAGACCTTGGTGAGATAACCCATGAGGGATCCAAGTACTGTGATTAGTGTCTATTGCTTCTTTCTGCTTCTCTGGGCCCACCCACCTCTTGTCCAGGTTGTGACAGATCCTGGTCCCTTCTGCATCCTTCCAGCTTCTGGTCTATATTTCCTTCCTCATCCCTGGCCCCTGCAGTCCCTGGACCTTGGTACCTCTCTCGCCTGAGGCTAAGAGGGAAATGGGCCTGGAGATATTCTCCCTTGTGAGGTGTCTAGCCAGGACCCACCAAAGACATTGGCAGTATGCTAACCTGGATTGAAATCTCAGCTCTGTCACACCAGTGCTGTGTGATCCTGGACAAGTTACTTAACCTGTCTGAGCCTCACTTTTCTCCACAAATCATAAAATCAGGCTAATGCCCACCTTTATGAAGCAATGTGTGCCTAGTAAGTAGTAGGTGTTCCATCAATAGTGGCAAGTATTATCATTCCTTAAAAGCTGATGGGGGAAAATTCCCCATGGATGCTTCCCTTTCAGATGGCCCCATCTGTTCTAGATGCAGAGGCACCCTCCAGCATCCCAAAGACCCGGGAGGGGGAGATGAGGCCTCCTGGGACTCCCAGGCAGCTCTTCTCCGCTCCCCCGTGCGTGAAATCACACGCACCCCAATCTGTCTGCATCCACTTCATCTGCCAGCTCAGCGAATGCAGAGACAATTAAGGAGTTAATTAGCAGGCGGTGGAAAGGGGCTGGGGACCTGAGGCTAATGGGACCCTTCAACACACCCCTCCAGCACTATGGGTTCTACATCGCCCCAGTGACCCTCATCTTCTCCCCCTGCTTTCTCTCTTCTCCCATCCAAATACTCCTCTTACCCCCCCCCCTTGTCTCTGCTACCCTCACTCTTCCTCCCCCTGACCTGTGCTAACCTCTCTCCCTTCTCCCTCACTCCTCTAATAGCCTCTCTCCTCCACTCAGCTTTTCCTCCTTTTCCCACCCATGCCACTGCTTTCCTAACCTTGGCGTCTTACTCTTTCCCCCTCCCCACCTCCTCCTCCCATCCTGGCCCCCTTCACTCTCCACCTTCCCCCATTCCCCTTGTCACCCATCCCTCTCCAACTTCAATTCTGGGTTTCAGTAAATGTGCCTTGTTCACTGGATCACAAGTGCGGCTCCATATCTGCTACAGGAGTCAGTGGGTTCAAGTGTGCCTGCCAGTCCCTGCCTCTGCAGTCCTCATCTTCTCCCAGCACCTCTTTCTCCTGACTCTGGGATTCTCAGATCTCTCTGCTGTGCCAGTGCATCTCTGGGGGGCTCTCTTCCTATACTGCTGTCTGTCTTGGGGTCTTCACATCCAGGACCATGCCAGATCCTTCTTTTCTTCCTCAGTTGCTAACCAAAAGGTTGGCAATTCTAACCCACCCAGATGCTGCACAGGAGAAAGACCTGGCAATCTGCTCCTGTAAAGATTACAGCTTAGAAAACACCATGGAGCAGTTCTACTCTGCACACACGGGGTCGTTATGAGTGGAAGTCCACTGGACGGCACCTAACAACAACAGCCGCGGAGGGACTGATAAATGGCCACCTTTCTTCCATCACTAGCCCCAATTTGTGTGTCATCATGTCATTTGGGGAGTCACAGCTTTGGAAGGGAGGGATCATTAAAGAGACTTTATATAGAGAATGAGAAAGACAACAAGAGAGATGTGGCAAAATCGGGGCCCGGGCAGAGACGAAAAGGGCAGATGGATGCACAATACTGCGAGGGAGGGAGGAGTGGAGAGAGAAAAACAGATTGAGACCGAGAGAGAGGGGTAAGGAGAGATGAAATAGAGACGTTGAGATAGATCCCTCTGTGCTTTAAAGACGATGGGTCTTTGTGAAGGAGAGAGACAAAAGGCTCACAGAGTGCCTGGGGCTTTTGCTCTTCCAGGAAACTTCCTGGTTAATCCCCAGCACCAGTGCTCCCTGTTTCCTTCTGCACCGCTTGCCCTGGTTTCTCTGTTTTGGAGGCCCTAACTGCCCTCGAAGCAGGTCTGTGGTCCTCTGCCCTCCTCCCACCCTTCCCCCAAGGCGGGATGCTCCCCTTGAGTGGGCAGTGGCTGTCTAG